TATAAAATTTATATTCTTTTTGATATATATTATATCAGCTCTAATCAGTTGTTTACATGCATTGTCAAAAGACAATCGAATAAAAAGGTTACTATTTAGTACACGTAACAAATAATTAGTGTAAGCGCATAGATACGACACATACGATTATAATTTCTACAGTCCGCGGATAAAAGAATATAACACATTTACCTTGACGAGTTTCGCAGTATATTCTGTATCCAATAGCAAAATGTATCTGCTGAGAATCATTAAGAAACAAATTCTATTGTATATGAGGTATACTGTGAAACACACCAAGGTAAAAGTGTAACTATTATATACTGATTGTCCGATCATTGTCTTAACATAAAATCAAAAACAAATTTATATATCTTAGACTTATCCAAGTACGTATACGTTATTATTTTTAAATACGACACGTATGTAACGTACATTGACACGTGAATGGAAACCTCGATAGACATGAATGTATTCTAGAAAAAATAAAAGCAATTCTTTTTCATAGGAAGATATGAAAAAAAATGCCCATAAACTATGAAAAATATGCTCGTATTTTTTTTTCTGTATAGAGAAGCAAAATCAATCGAGCGGCTAATTTCAATTGACCCTCGATCTCGACGCGCGAGTCATCTGTGCGAGTCGCCCCTCGATTTTTTCTCAGGACGGTGACGCGCATAGGCATCGAACAAAGGGAAGCGAGAAGGGTCACGCCCGCGCGAGTCCTCTCCCTACCTCGAGCGCCTCGCGCATTCCGATCGATGCTGACGCGAACAACGTCACACAGTCGTGTTTACATACGTTGTGCTACCTCGTCTCCCGCGCAAAAAACCCAACGCGACGATTGAGGTTAAGAAACGCTACCTCCTCAGCCGAGAATCACCGGGAACGTTCTGTCGTGGTGTCACGGATGTGCGCGAAACCGCGCTGGTCATGGCAGCAATAGAGGTTGCATTCCCGTCGGACGGGCCGCCCGGCAAAATACTAAAATGGAGAGTACGCTCGGACACAATGGTCGCGGCGGGCCGAGTGTTGTTGATATACCGCAATGCGACGCCGGACATCGAGGATCCCGTGGAGCCTGAGAAGAAGCTGCGGGCCACGAGATTCGGCCGTGTCAAGCAACTTCTGGTCAAGGAGGGCGACGTCGTTCAACCTGGGTACGCGTCATTTCACAGCATCGCATCCCTTCGTCGCGTCGGAGGTTATATACACACATACACACACACATGCGCGTATATTATACATATCGTTCTCCTACCTCTCGATATACATCATTGCGATGATAAACCAGCGAATCAGCGACATTTAATAGTCGCCTTTGGTACTCATAGACCGCTATAGGTGCTGAATATATGCCAGTTCGGATTAATTAATTCTGCGGGTTCGAACGTTCGTCGTTCTTTTCAAAATAGATTTCGCACGGTAGTTCCGGTACAACCCTGCAGGCACATAGCTTCGTACTTGATCCTTGCGATATTTTAATGATATGTTAGTGTCTGTTCAGGCAAGTGATAATCTTATTGGAAGGATGCACGCATCCTACTGTGATGATAGACCTGTGTGCGGAATGTGGGGCGGATCTAAGGGTACAACAAGCCGGGAAGGACGGGAAGGTAGCTGAAGTGTCACAGGCCAGTGTGCCTATGGTGCATAGCATACCGGAGTTGAAAGTGTGTCCGGAATTAGCGGAGAAGATCGGGAAGAAGGACGAGCAGCGTCTCCTGAAGGATCGGAAATTAGTGCTACTCGTGGACCTCGATCAAACGATAGTTCACACGACGAACGATCATATTCCGCCTAATTTGAAAGTACGTGAACGCGTCGGCCACCTGTCGATACGTAAATGTATCAATATTTCGACGATAAATCTATCGTCGATATAGAGAATTCGCGAGAGAGCTGCTTAAAGTGAGCGGATCTCACATCTCCGTTCTCCATTTCCGCAGGACGTTCACCATTTTCAGCTATATGGGCCGAATTCCCCTTGGTATCACACCAGATTAAGACCGAATACCCGGCACTTCCTCTCGGAAATGAGCCACTTATACGAATTGCATATCTGCAGCTTTGGAGCAAGGATCTATGCGCATACTATCGCGTCGCTGTTAGACAAAGATGGGATCCTGTTCTCGCATAGGATACTCTCGAGGGACGAGTGCTTTGATTCAGCATCGAAGACTGCGAATCTCAAGTAAAGATTACAATTGTTTTATATTATTTCGGCCGGATATCTCGCACACGTAGGAAGTAGATCCTTCGTAGATCGAGACGCGAAGTTATCGTTGAATTTTACCGTCTCATAGTCATTGCCGCTCTAAGAGAGCCTCCAGAAGATAAACCGCGTTATTGTAATCTCGCGCATTATTTGTTGCAGAGCATTGTTTCCTTGCGGCGACGACTTAGTATGTATTATAGACGACAGGGAGGACGTGTGGCAAGGTTGCGGCAATCTGGTCCAGGTGAAGCCCTATCATTTTTTCCGTCACACAGGTGACATCAACGCACCGCCGGGATTAGACAAGGTTGACGCGTGGCGCATTCCCGAGCCGGAAAATACGAATGCAAATGAGACGTCTGCAGACTCACAGAACAAGGAGAGCAAGAGCGATGTGTCGAAGTCGTTGAGCGAGTCGTTATCGTCGGACGACGCCTCGACGAAAGAGGCGAAACCCGAAACAGATGAGAACTGTGATAGGCCGGAAGAAGCGAACAACGGAGATACCAAAGTCGACGTCGAAGAGGAAGAAACAGATTCCAAGGCGCAATGTGTCGTTGCCGACGAGGCACAGCCCGGTGATGTGAGTGAGGCGCAATCCGCCGCGGAAGATGAAGCGCAGCTCACGAATAAGGACGATACGACGGATAAGGGAGAAACCGTATCACCCGAGCAGGCGGAGAAGAACAGCAAACAGGAGACGTCGAAGAGCAACGAGAACAACGTGATAGACGAGGATGACGATGATTACCTGTTGTACCTGGAGGATATCCTTCGTAGGATTCACACGGAATTTTATTGCACCCTGGACAAGGGCAACGGCCGGAGATCCTTGCGAGACATAATTCCGCGAGTGCGCTCCCAAGTGCTGAAAGGACTCTGCTTGACTTTCAGCGGCTTGATACCCACTCATCAGAAGCTGCACCAAAGCCGCGCGTACAAAGTCGCGAGAGCGTTCGGAGCGGAAGTGACTCAGGTAAGGAGAATTCATCGCATTCGTTGCCATCTCTTCATCGTGCTTCTCTGAGTAACGTGAAATCGCGCAGGATCTGACGGCGAAGAGCACGCACTTGGTCGCGATTAGAAAAGGCACGGCGAAGGCGAACACGGCCAAGAAAAACGTGAACATAAAAGTCGTGAATCCGGAGTGGTTGTGGACGTGCGCGGAACGATGGGAGCACGTCGACGAGCGTCTGTTCCCCGTCACATCGCAGGTACAAATGCTAATAATTTTATAATGTTAAGGCTTCCGTTTTCACGACGCATCTTGATTAACGAATGCAGTCAAGAGCGAGGGAAGGTATGTGGAAAATTCTTGCGGAATACGTTAAGAGAAAATGCATCCATAACGTGATATTTCCGATCGATTGACCAGATTTGTAAGATGTTCGAAAAATTTTCACTCTGAAATAATAATAGTAACGGTGATATTTCTTTATTGGACACGGAAAAGATCACAAAATGACAGTATTAACGGTTGCGTAGCTGTGAAAAGCGATCGAAACGTGGAGCAAAACGTGAGATACTGTGTATGACTGATTTTACTGATTTTAGTTAAACGTGCATGAGTCAATGTGAAGTAGCAAAACGAAGATTTACACACACGTAAATATCGATATAATTTATATAATAAATCACACTTAAATACTAATACGATCAATAAGGGCCTGGAACTAAAGGTTCAACTCTTAGTTGTGGTACACCTCAATGCAGCGACACGAAAATCATTGAGAGAATCTGGCCAATCGGATCTCAAATAGGCGGGAATTGTAATATTTAACCGCAGTATGAAAAAGCCGCACGGTATTTAGTTGTTCTGCGACGGGGGAACGATAGGAGGCACTGAAGGCGTGTGTCGTGCGACTGTCTTCACCGTGATGATCAGCGTTTTTATGCAAAAGTCTAGCGATGTAAAAAGAAAAATATATTTACGCGCGCAAAGAACGTTATCGAGCGAGACACGGTCGTGTCTCGGCCAAGTGCGAAGCGCACAGATCGAGATCTGCTGGGTATAATTATGCCGCTAGTCATTAGTCGAGCGCAGGCGAGATTTCTGGTTCGACCATAACGACTGAACCGACTCGATCGATTCCTCGAATTTATACTAGACATGGTAAAACGAAAAGATTTCCTAAAGACAGCACACCGGTTCCAGTTAGTAAGTGGAAGCAGCGATTGAACTATTGCGGAAGCCATCGTACGCCCTGCTCGAAGGGAAGCTGTGAGAGCAACTAATCCGTCATACTGTCGTTGATCTCAGCGTCCCGTGTAATCCCTTGTTGACCCTTCGGATGTTCTTCGAGCGGGCCGAACAAATGAAGATCACGAGTTGGATCCGGACTATACGGTGGGTGTTCCAGTACCTCCCAGTGGAATTTACTCAGCAGAGCGTTTGTTTCATCCTGGCCGGACGTAATCTCGTGCAACAAGACAATACCAGAGTTTAACAATCCCGGGCATTTGTTCTTAATCACTTTACGCAGCCGTTGCAGTGTCTGACAATATGCCCGCCCTGTTGACGTTGGACCCGTGCTCGAGAAACTCAATCGGCAATGGTTCACTGGACAGTAACACGACTGGCTGTGTTCGTTGTCACGCCTCCTGGCCAAGAACGTGTAACGTGATGTCAAACGTACCTCATGTTTACGTGACATCGCGCATGCAGCCAACATCAACTTTGCATACCAGTCTCTTTGGTATCATGTCAGAGGTTATTGCGTCAACAGCACGCGTCTTCTTCTTTTCACTTGATCATAATTAGTATCATATAAACGAGACAACGAAGATGACGAATAAACCGCCGATAGAGCTTAAATCAATCCGACTGTTGATAAACAGGCGATATGCGCTCATATTTCCTTATTCCATAAGCAAATCGCAGGCAAAAGTTTTGTACGCGTTGCGATACGCATGCGATTCAGTGATCGCTGGCTCAAACACGAGATAAACATCGCATCTGTGTAATCAAACAGCGATGTAACAAAGGATTGCGAAACTAAGAAGAGCTTTTGAGAGGAGGAAAGTATATGTATGAACGGATAAAGTTTACGAAGGCGAATACAAGCGGCTCTACATTTGACTGCAATGTGGCTTTCGAATGATCACGATGGATCCACGTGTAAACCAAGAATCTTAAGAACAGGAGCAGGTTAAATGACAGAAGAGATAATGCAGAGGTCAAAGGAAGGAGAAAATTAGGGTTGGAGAATAAAAGGGAAAATTAAGGGTTGAACCAGCGATAAGGGTAGGTACAGTCTGTCTAATAAGAATGTGACCGGGCGAACTTCCGTTTGAAAACTGTTACATTAAAAACTGTTGAATGAGCAGGTAGAAAGGCTTTTTCCTTACGACGCGTACAGAGGGTCCCACTGTCTGACTTTCACGACGAAGAACGACATGTTATTTGCAAAATGGTGAAGAATTTTCTGTTCGGAATGGCCTAATCTACAAGTATATAACAGCTGTTGTATCCAGCAACATCAGCATATTGAACTCTGAACCTTGAATCTGTCGCTAGGTAAAAGATTTTTTCGCTCACCTCAATCCGTTTTACATCCTCGCGAAGTTTGTCCCTGTTGGTCTGAGACACTCGGTATAAGTTTTGAGACAGTTCGTCGTTAGTTTTTGTTTTAAATCAGTGTGGAGGAAGCGCATGGAGGTAACTGGTGCGATAAAACAACTCGTTTGAAACCAAAACTAACGACAACTGTCTCAAAGCTTATATTGACCCGATTCTCCCTGTGATCCAATGCGCCTCATTCTATCCTATGAAGAATTTGAATGCCAGGAAAATGGTTAAAATTTACCAGAGAATATTAATAACATCTATCGAAAAAAGTGATTTTAAAATAAAGGTCAGAATTGCCTTCAAGAAGACAACAACTTAAAATAGTCAGGAGTCGTTTTCGCTCCCAATAGAAGAAAGAAAATGTCGAAACACCAGATCTGGTCATCACAATCATCAGATGCAAGTCCTATTGAAAATGTCTGTGTATTAATGAAGATAAAGTTGCATGGAAAAAAAAAATATATATATATATGATGAAACTAATTCGTTCAATATGGCGATCTTTATCTCGAGAGTATGCTGTAAATGGTAATATGGAATAAATTGGTATAATGGAGTATGCGGTAAATATACCTGGAAAATGTCAAATAATAATTGACAATAGCGGCTATTGGATGACTTATTATATTATATATTATGTATTATATTATATGCGAGGTGTTTCAAACCGTTCTCGGTTCCCGCGGTGTGCAGGTAGAATGGATGAAATTGAACAGAAAAGTCGTGTACCATTTTACAAAATTCGCAATAGTTAGCGAGGAAATTAATGATTTTGTCTGAGCTAATGAACGCACAGGAAAGGGTAGGCCGGGCATTGTATGAAGAAAAATCGCTTACTTCTAAAGATCTAATAACGATGGGTATCAACTGATAGCGAGAAGCGCGGTTTCTTTTTGGCGTACATCTCTATGTCACATATCGCTTGCTGTTTGCTGCGTTACTTTGCCTCTAGAAATCAATTGAAGCTCATCATTGCTAGGAGATCTTCAAGAGTAAGCCATTTTTCTTTATACACTGTCTGATCTACTCTTCTTCGTGCATGTATTAGCTCAGACAAAATAATTAATTCTTCATAAACTATTGTGAATTTTGCAAAAATAGCACATAAATTTTCTACACTTGCACACCACGAGAACCGAGAACGATTCGGGACATTCTATATGTATGTATATGTATCATATTATACTATATACTATTAATACAAAAGCATTGTTGTAATACTGATTGTGTAATATATATGTAACTTATTTATTTTTCTGTAATAAATGCTTTAAAAGTAATGTCGGTCACGCTCTTATTAGACAGACTGTAGATTTAGAAGGATTCAAGTGTAGTCCATTAGAAGAAGACCTATTTTGCGATAAGTTCGAGATCAAAATTGAGATTACGACTATCTGACGTAGCCGTATGAACAGAAAATGAGAATGTAAGCGATCAATAAGTAGCCGTAAAATTGACGTGACGAAATCATGCGAAAAGATGAGGCGGAAGAGGAAAGTTTGCACATCATGTTACTTTTACGGTAATTTATTGATCGAGCAAAAGGAGCAGGAGTAGGAACTTTTGAAATATCTTACAAATATATTCAATCGATGTTACAAATGTGTTCAATCATAAATATCATTATATGGGCATGTTCTTTCGTTTCAACGTATTTCGCAAGAATTTTAAACATTCATTTTCTCACTTTTGACGTTACCAAACTAGGCGACTGTGGCGAAGGACCAGGAGCCTTTAAGTCGAATCGCATACGGTTTTATGGTAACATCGCTGTTTGCAACATACACCGTCCTGGCATTAATAATAAATAGAAGCATCGTAGGCTCGTGGATCGAGAGTACCACCGCCACACTGCAGTAGTCCCGAAAGCGTCGAAGAGGTAGAGAGCAATAATAGTGCGGCGAACTCCTTCGCCAACACGATCAATCCATTGATGTCTTTTACTCAAGAGGAGATCGAGTTTATGGATAAGGAGGTGGAAGAGGACATGTTAGAGCAAGACACAATTTTCGATGCGGAAGAGGAAGAGGGAGAAGAAGGTGAAGAAGAAGAAGAAGACATGGACGACGCAGATGAATGTGGCACGAGGATACGTCGTCGCAGTTTTGACTCTGAAGATTCCATGAACGGTGAGTACACATATGAGTGAGTGAGAGAGAGAAAGAGAGAGAGAGAGAGAGAGAGAGAGAGGTGTAAAATATCCAATAATCGTGCAACTTTATAATCGCAAAATCGAACGATTTTTATCTATATGTTATTTTGAAACAGACGAATGGATGTCGGAGAAAAAGAGGCAGAAGATCAAGAACGGAAATTCTGATGAGAGTTCCTCCGAGGATAGAGATGGCAATCGCAACATTCACGATGATGATGATGATGATGATGACGACGACGACGACGACGATGATGATCCCGTGACGCGTTTCAGAAGGGGAGGAGATTTACCGGACGATTTGGATCTAGGAGATAATTCACAGGACTCGATAGACGACTTCGAAGGTGGAGATAATGAGGATGATCGAGAATGGAACGCATTGGGCGCTGCGCTCGAGAGAGAATTTCTCGCCGAGTGATATGCTTGAGAAAAGTGAGAGAAATGCATCGACGTATACACACGTCGTCGGATTATTGGACTGACTAAGAATGTCTTGCATCACTGATAAATTTCAAGTTCGATAACTGAACGGGAAGATATTATTGATGATGTTAAATTATTTATGCACTCTGATACAGTCAGAGAGAAGTGTTATATGAAGGCATTGAATGCGTTTGCTGCCATCTGCTAAGAGTGGATCGAAATGGGCAACGGGAGGAATATGTAAAATTGGAAAAAAAATTCTTTCTATATCGAACCATTGCTCTGTATTAAACTTGCGGATTTTGTACTAGCAAACGAAGTCGCTCTTTCGATTACTTTACGAAAGAGTCATTTGTGGATAGCAATACGAATACGCGGTGAACATTAAATTTTCCCATGCAAAGGAGTCACATTGAGCACCAGTTTTATCATATTATTAAAGAATGAAACTTATTTTCTCTAATGTTTGTAGAGCCGCCATCTGTAATGTTGATAATTATAAGTCATTTTTGTATGGAAAGATACTATACATAAAGGATGTATTATGAAATTGGAAAATAAAAATATACAAAAGAAGTGTAATGTGAAGAAAAGAAAAACAGCACGTAGATTCTACAGAAAAAAGAAATCAAGATTTATTATCATTTACCATTTTCTCAAATACTATACAAAAATATTCTACACTGTATCTGGTTGTGGATCATCTGGATTGTCGTAGTATTTCAGATATACCTTTTTATGGGTAAAGTCACGTATATTTTCTAGCCTTCCTCGTCTTGGTGCCTTTTCATAATCATAAGCTGTCTCTTTTCTGCCATGTAGTTGTACAATCTCATCCAAATCCTCTCTAATATTACAAAAAGATACAAAACATGTTTATGTATATATATATATCGATATCTCAATTTTACAGTTTGGAATTTCTATGGAATGCACTTAAGATACACGGAATGGATTTCTATCTGTGGTTACACACACACATATATATATATATATATATATATATATATATATATATANTTTTTATTCTTGTAATTATTCTTTCGCATTGATTAAATTTTCATAAAATCCTTGGTAAATCACATACCTATATGCAGACTTGACAGTTTTCTTTCCAGTAATTGGATCTGTGATGTCACCTAGAGGATGTATCACCTCGATCACCTGTGTATCAGGAATTTTTGAAGAATCACATTGGCGCAAAATTTATGTCATATCAGAAATCATAAGGATCAAATGGTGTGACATGACGCGTACCTCGTGAGTGATTAGACGTGTCATTTTCGCCGGTAACGCTTTTATCAGGATAATATCACCGGTTTTACATAATTTCTGCGGATCATTGGCATAGACGAACTCGTGTTCTTTGAAGTACTGTTAAACAAAAATGAGACACATAACCTCAACGGCAAGCTACCTAAACGAATCGTGCATAATCGTATGTATTCATAAGTACTGACCATGTGAAAGTAATTGTCGAATTTCAATTGCGGTATCCTCACTTTCGCGGCATTTTGTTTCGACGAAGGTACGCACTTTCCGAGTAAATATCGAAGCGCGACCTTACTCGCTTCTTTACCAGCCATTTTTATACATGCGCGATCATCAGCTGATCGCTTGTGCGTGCATAGGAGCGTTGAGGAGCGCGCCTAATAGCGTCTATTAACACTGATCAGTACTAACGAGTTATTCTATCCTTGTCGTATATCTAATGAGAAACAATGAGAGAGATCAAATAACGCGTTAGCGCTGATAGTGTGCTCTCCGAACGCAGCCTTTATAGCACATTAGAAATCTGCTCTTTTCAATTGGTTACTTCTGTATAAACAATCACTCGGGAATCCACGAGTCATATATAACGATATCGTCAACAATTATATCGTTATTATATAAATATATTTATATTTATTTTCCACATTCTTCTTTCTTTTTTCCCTCAAGGTCTAAGTATATAGTTGTAAGCGCCAGAAATATAAAAGATGCGGAACGGAGAAAAAGAACGGAGCTTTCTAAGATATATTAACGAGTGTATCCCCGGGATGAAAAAGATCATGTATGAAATTTGCTCATATATGACTATATATAATTATATATGTCCACAGCGAAAAAATACTATTGTTTACAAATTATATGTAAATACAATCGAAATAAACGCTTCTGGCTACTTGTGTGCTTCTGACAGCACATGATATTGACATTTAATTAAATGACGTAACATCATTTTTTTTTTTCGTACAGCCATATATGATCATATTTGTAACCACATGGGCAAAATTCACATATGATTTTATGTAATTATATATAATCATACATAATCATTTTCTCCCGGGTCGTTCATTTTACTATCTCAAATATTGCAACTGTTCGAGCATTTTGCATATTTCATATCTCATGGATTTACAATAAATTAACGAACCACATAACGAAAATAACGAAATTGACCAATCATCAACGTAACGATTGACTAATCACAAAAGTTCTATTTCTTACGGCTACACTTTCTGTATTACCTAGTAATCCTCTATTTTCTTCTCTCTTCCATCAAGCGTGTCAAATATGTGTCTATCTTATTTCAAACGCAGAAAATGCAGTTTAGTGCATCTATAAAGAATAGAACTCTTGTGATTGGTCGGTCATTAGATCGAGAGTATCGTAACTTCGATAGTCGAGAGCGCAATGGCGGCGCGGCAGTTCGGATTTGTGAAGTCGCTCCGTATATGCTGCTATTTCGGTTTGTAGGAGGCGAGCCTCGGGTGCGAATTACTGCCGTTGGTAGTGCCGAGACCAATTTATGTGCGTTTGTCGTAGAGAAACATCCTACAACAGTCGTCAACCGTAGATATCTCGTCTAAAACGGGTAATCAGCAGCGCCGAGTACATGTGTAATGGCGGCTCGAAGTTCGAATCCTCAGATCGCCGTACTTTACGATTTTAACCCGCCGAGCGCAAATCTCGCGCGCGAATTATCGTCGGGAATACCGAAGGTGAATACCACGCATTTATCACGGCGCGATATTACGAAAAAATCGCCGAGAAAATTGCAACCGTCGTGAGATTCACAGTTCGGTTCACTAATGATAAAATAATATAAAAGACCATTGGATTTCACGTATACAAGAAAATTTCGATATCTGATCATTTCCAGTCGATAAATTTGTTGGCAAACTTGCGTCAAATCAGCGTAAATGATAAGTGCGAAAACTGCAATTTCGCAAATATTTCATATACTTCAATGTAGGTTGTGTACGAATCGATAAAGCATTGACGGACACTCGTAAATTATAAAATTATGTCTTACCCAGATATCCGGTAAATAATTTTTCATATATAATCATGTATAAAATCATATAGAAATCTAAAGTTATGCATAATTCCTTTATAAATTTATATATAAGTTCAAGGTTTAAGAATCAAAATTCAATATACTAATGTCTGTCGTTAGATACAGCAATTGTCATATACTTGTAGATTAGACTCTTTGGAACAAAAAAGTCTTTCACCATTTTGCAAAGAACACGCAAATTTTTGAGTTATTAATTAAAAAAGCCTCTATACATGGCCATTTTTAACCATTGATAATTCGAAATTTTGCGTGTTGTTTGCAAAATGAACTTTTCTGTTCGGCTTCATCCATTTTACTTGCACACCACGGAAACCAAGATTAGTTTGGGTACCCTATATATGTTAATATATGAAAATATTTTGCACCGGGATTCATATCAGATGGTTAAAAATGGTCGGTAATGCCATTCTTGTTAATTATCTCCTTCCGTATAAAAATTTGCCCAGAGCTGAGGGTTTTTAATATTACCTCATCGGTGAGTCCATAACGGGTCTCGACGCGAATTTGACGAGCCGTATCTGTACTTTCTGCGATTCCGTCTCGCCGGAGACGAATTTCGCGTGTGATGTTTCACCGTGTGAGCGTTCTGTGTGCCGAAAGTAAGTTCCGGGTGTTTATTCGTGGCATCAAACAACCGAAAATGAATGTCCTGCGAAACGGATCGTCAGCAGTGTCGAGTAAAATATTGCGTGAGCTACGGCAGTCGGCGGTTTGAAATTCAAATCGTTGCGTCCTACATTTTCGAGATTCGCCGAGGGAAAGTTGATAAGTGCGAGATAACAAAGAGCATAAAAAATATTTAAATCGAATTTAAATCGGACATAAGAAGCGATCGTCGAAATGTTAGGAGTGCACTTGGTTTGGAACCATGCCCTGAAAATAGGATGGAAAATATCGCCGTGCCCTGTAGAATGAGTTTATAGAAACAATACTGACAAATCTTATATAGGATGCAAAACATTTATTTAAGACTTTGATTTCAAATTAGGTCAATTCTGTACATACACAACAGCTACAGATATATCTTCGAATTGTATCATCAATTTACAATCAATTTTCTCTTATTCTTTTTTTCCCTTGTTCAATGTACAGGTATATATCACTGAGTACGCAATCGATATAATATAGATGATAAACTATGTAGGATCTTCAAGTTAATTCAACGACCACGATTTTTAGCGCTCCGTTACATCTGTTTCGTATTTAAACGTAATGAACATAGCATCTCTATAAAAATATATCTTTAATCAAAAATTGAACGCACAATTTTCGTTTTAACCGCCTTAACTACTTTACAAGAAGACATAGTATGTTGTTTTCCATCAGCAGAAATTCCCATCTTAACGACGGTGATAAGAAACGGAATATAGAACATCACTCGTTACAATGTGTGATACCGTTTGTATCCATATACGTCGAAACAAACATGTGTACTTGGTTATTGCTAAAGTATGCGGATCCTAAATAGAATCCTCTCGTCGCTATACACGAATAAATTTCGTTCTATGTCTCTATGTTGTATGCTACCATGAATTTTTGGTACAACTATAGTGCATTAGCAACACCAACGTAACATCGAACTTTCGCAACAACTGACGCTGACCATCGAATCATGAAGTCAAATCATGAAGGAGAAATAAGAAAAAGACTGTAAAAACAACACGTCAGTTATTGCGACGAACATGAATGACGATGGATAAAAACGCGTCTTCTACGTCTTTTATGTAATTCGAAGGGGCGATAAGAGCATTATTTTACCAAATATATGCGTATATATATATATATATTTTTTTTAGTAGCTCTTAAGAAAATATTATAATTATTTTAATAATTCGCTTATTTTTCGCCCTTATATTGTTAACATATGAATTGTTAGGGCGAAATTCAAGCGTCCGGCATAAAATCAAAACTAATCTAAGTTTACAATCGTTTCCCTTAATCATAAAATTATTTAAAATTTCTTACGCGTGAGCGCTCGAAACAACTTACAAACACGCCGTGTGTGAGTGTGTATGTATGTGTATAACCTACAACTAAGTTTATTTTCCCAAAAGAGCGAGAGCCCAGTTACGTAGTAAGAAGAATGTATTGTAACTCTTGGGCTCTTTAACATGCATCATTATCTACGAACTAACAGGCATCTGACAGGCTCGCGGCACATAATCAATCGTCTATGCCTTAGATCTTTAGCGTTGCTTATGTAGAAACATAGAATTCATTTCTCTTTATCAGTTTACTACGTGATAATGAGAGTACCAATTAGCAAATCTTTTTAGCTGTACATGAGTGATCACAAGTATTAATTTACGAGTACTCGTTTGGTTTGCCTTTCGTTCAATATCATGTGATCCACGTAACGTCCATAGGAATAATCCTATAATAGTAAAATTAATAGCAGAAATAGACAAAACCACCCTTTTTTAGCGTGTGCTCCTTAAATCGAACTAATCGCATTGAAAATGACATACGTGCTTTATATTACAACATGATTTTTGTCAAAACACGCATTGATAAATGTGGCAAACAAAATTGCAATGTTACAGAGTTTTATTTAATGTCTCAATAGTGAAACTTTGACGTTACATATTGCCGTAAAATAAAAACGTTAAAATAACAGCTTAAGTTTCCAAACTTGTATTCAAACTATATTAAATCCACATTTGTCGAAAATTGCAAGTTTCATGTCGTAAGACGGTATAAAGCTTGCACGTATAAGGTTTATGAACACGAAATACAATCAACTCTGTCAATGTGTGATCGATTTAATATGGTTTAGAAATATTCAATTCTGTTTTACGCGAATAAAATTAATATTGCGATGCGATACTCCATGACTTCAGTAATCTTTCATTTACAAAACGCCTGTGTAACTCAAAAAATATCACTCAAATTAATGACACAATCACTCTATATCAAGACTACAAACTAATAACAAGATAAACCTCTTTCCTAACTTCAAAATGTTTTTTTGCAAAGTGCCATTAATATTATAATGTTATGCGACATGGCAGAAACTGAAACATTTCTGCATTTGATTACAAAATGTAGTCCAGTCGTTCGCGCGTCAATATCAATTCTATGTACAAGCTAGAAGTACGAAATAAGATCGTAGTTTAAATTGCGATAGAAAGTAATTACCTTATTTAGTATTCTAAAGGCCATGTCGTCATATACTTTAGATCTTCTCAAATTCTTATGATACTGCAAGCGCGCTTTACGATTATTGGAAATCCTTTATTTCCGTTTCATTACATGGTCATCACAAAGTTATGCCTTGACCTAACAACAGTAACTATTGGAGAGGAAAAAAAAAACCGCACTCCCCCTAAACTGTCGAGACTGTAATGTCTTTTACAACTAGATTAAGCATCATGTTATCACATGCTTCTGATTTCCAACCAATAGGAATTTAATTTCGCTACATAATGTATAATACAAACGTTATAAAAAGACTATTACAGTTTTGCCGCTGATATACTAACTTATGCAATAACTGCATATTCTCGTCTCTGTAATTACATTTCAACAGTGCAGTGTAAATGATTATCTGTCGTTATTTCCAAAATATAAGTCATCTGTACATTAATAGCAAGTCTATTTTTTCCTTTTCTTTTTTTTAGCCTTATTAATTTTATTCAGAATGATGCGTATGCAATAACAACGTACATATTTGTTTCTTATTTTTATATAAACACAAGTGAAAACATACACATCCCATGCATTATGTTATGTGAATACGATCGTAGAATATACACAAAACTGACTTAAAAAAAATACACTTAAGGACACACGAGAGAAATATTATTTTCAATATATTTACAATTTTATCATTGCATTTGTTGATATGATCAAAATTAAAAGAAAGAATTCTTTATGAATAAATAATAACTAAATAAATTTGATGTGTCATATGATCAATAATTTATTGTGAATAAGAGAAAATATTTCTGCACTTCATTCTTTTTGAGATAAATTTACAGAAGAAGTTATTAACGCTCGTGTAAGATTATCCCAGAAAAGATACGGTGTGCAAATAGTTTTGTTCTATACATTCTAGAATGATCATCT